GCTCTTGTTAACAGTGACCATACCCGTCTGGGTGGATGATTCTTCATCGTTAACAAAGCTTACTGAGCGCTGGCAATGGGGCGGTTTACATTTTTGTTCAACTGATATGCCGATTAAGGATCTTCTAAAGAACCACAGATCTGCGAGAACGTCGGACTGAGCGCCTGCCCAGGTCGGCGTCGGGCTGCTCTGTCGACATCCCGGTGATGGGGGGCTGGGGTGCCAAAGGGTTTGGCTTTGTGCCGCTTGGAAAATGACCACAACTCCGACTGGAGGTCCGTTCTGTCTTGGCTCCTGTGCCAGGTTTTTTTCTTACACATAGTGCAACTGTGCTCGATGGATCTATTTCTATAGTTTCTCTCTTGCTTCGGCGACGGAGCTTACTGAGGGCTGGCAAAGGAGCACCTATGTTTTCGTTCTGGTGTTATCCCCCAAGAGCTTCTAACAACACACAAATCTGCAAAACAACAACCACCAACCATGGAGCCCCACCTTTGATTTGTAAAGCATTAAGCAGCACGGTCTAAAGACGAGGATATCTCTTATCGACCGATGGATGTGCTCTACATGAGCTGGTGGTAGACGAAAAGTCCAAAAGAGTGTCGGAAGCGTAGCCTCCTACAGGAATAGCTCGTTAACCAAGATCCAGGCAATTACACCGTCATCGAGCCACCCGATGACCGGAATGACGTCCGGGATAAGGTCGACAGGTGACAGCAGATACATGACAGATAAAACAATGACTACCCATCGCCACTCGCTATCTTTGGCCAGAAGTCGTCGGTACTTGGCATACATTCTTCCAGAAATGTTCCTGGGACCTTCGGCATTTGCCTGAGATTCCTTTGTCGCAGCAGTTGGTTTAATCTCCGTTCTTGTTCCTTCAATGCTTTCCTTGAACCCTCGTTGCAGTCTGGTCCCAGCCATCACTTGCGCTGTATTTAGGTCTGTAGCTTCAGGTTGAATTTTGCAAAAAAATGAACCTACCTGCATATCGGACTACCTAGGCGTTCCCCTACTACGGGACTATGTCGAATTGAGCCACCATTAAGACGCTATGGAAACCCCTGAGTTAGTGACTGCTCAGTTAGAGACTGCTGATCTAGTTCTCCCTCGGCCCTCCGGTGCTCTCTCCCTCGGTCCTCCGGTGCTCTCTCCCTCGATCCTCCGGTGCTCCCTCCCTCGGTCCTACGGTGCTCCCTCCCACAGTCCTCCTCCCTCGGTGCTTTTTTGCGGCTCTACGGGCGTGTTGTTCCGTGGTATGCCGGTTTGTTAATTTTCGTCGAGTCCGGCATCGTGGAGTCGGATTGTGTCTTGGACGAATTTAACGAGGGAGTGGGTTGACCTGCTCCCCGTGAAGAGCACAGGACGGTCGAATTTATTGGAGAGAATGGCGAAGGTGGGGAAATATTGTAATTTAATGTTGGACGGAGCGGGGTTGTGTGTTCCATCCATCCGGGCAACAAGGAGATCGGGAAGCAGGGAGGCTACCTTTTCGTATTCGCTGGCGAATGCTATGCAGTGCGGGCACCAGGGCGCGTAAATCTCCAACAGCACGTAATCCTCGTGTTTAAGCGCGCGTTGTAGAGTATGCAGATTCAGTTCCATTACGCGCCGCATTTTTTCCGTTGTCCCAATCCTTACCGGCCCGCTTTGAACGGTCGACACCGTTTTATGCCCAAGAATTACCCCCACTACAAGAATTATACCTTCCTCAATACCTGCCCCAATCCTGGCCCCAATCTTGGTCCCTATCCTGGCCCCAATACTTACTTACCTGCCGAATAATAAGACTAGACGTAATAGGCGGTATATAAAATGACAATGGTTGCGAATCGACTCAGGTTACGGTGCCCGACGGACATTGAAGAAATTTTCGAATCAGGTCGTCAGACGAGCGAGGATGACACTCTCCTTGCCGCCTCCCTTCCCGTATTACCGCCGCCCCTTAAGAAGACCGGCTCTATCTTCTCCAGCATCGGGTGCCGCCAGCTGGTGTCCGGCAAAAAAGAGAGAATTACCCAATCCAAGACCCTCACCATTGATTCCCTTTTCGACAGCGTCACAGACGCTGAATTGAGCAAGGTCGTCGCAATGCGCAACAGACCTGCCAGAATCGCTCCCGATGGCCGCAGAAAACAGCAGGTGCGCCCTTCATTGATTCTGGCTGAAAGCTCAATCGCCGCACACGTGTGTGCGCGGGCAAACAAAACGCTGATCCATGCTCCCCAGCGCCCAAATACCCCAGGTCATGATTTTACGAGCCCCGAGGCGACCGTAGACTCGTCTGAGAGTTCTCCCTTTCCCGTGCGAAGTATTGCTAACAGTTCGCCAAGGAATGGTATGGAATTACTGGATGATGAAGACAGCAGTCGCCGCGGACGTCCTGGCAGTCGTGCTAGAAGCAAGAGTCCTTCGCGGTCGTCCGCGAATGGATCGCCGATGGTTCTACTGACTGCGGATAACCCGAACTACATGTCTAGCGACCTTTCGCCGGACATGCGGCAGGTCACTCCCACTTCGTCCACTCGGCGGCAGACGAGCGGTGGATCGGTTGCGTCCTCATCGCGGGATCCTTATTTCCCATCTCGGAATGACATGAGAACTTTCTCTCCGAGTCCGCCTCCCATCGGTTGTCCTCCCTTCACCCTGGACACTTCTCCGGTTCACAGCCTTCCGGGCGAGAATATTCCGGTCGAAGGGCTTCCGCTTGGTCGGCTCAAGCAGCCACCTAGCGCTCCGCTGATCGCGATTCTCGGTGCCAGTGACAGCTCCAAACGAGACTCTGACGAGGATGTAAGCCCGGTAAGGCCGATGGTTCCGAAGCTGGACTTCCGGAGACTGACGAAGAAGCGGAAGAACAGAAAGCAGTTGCTTGCATTGGACGTGGCTACCATTTTGACCAACAGCAGTAAGACTCACCGCCGCACCTTTTATGCCGTTGGTTTGATAGATTAGCCATCCTTCAGCGTTCACAGTGAATCGAGACAGCCAAACGGTGCAGTTCCAGACGCTTCGTCCGGGTGACAACAGCAAGACTCTTTTTCCGTCGTCGACTTCGTCGACGAATCCAGCGGCATTGCGGAAGCAGCGAACCCGGCGGCTGAAGTCGGATAAGAAGCTATTTGAAAGCAAGCGGACGAAGATTTCGTTTACAGGTCCGGGGTTTGCGCCTTTACCGAACAGCAAGGGTTCGGAGTCAACAGCAACAGAGGAGACGGCGCCGCGTATGTTTCGACGGGCGACGATGGCGGACGTGACGGATTCGATGCGTTCAGAGAAGACTCGCGACTACTCAGTATTGTTTGACGAACACCATCTGACTGGTATGTTTAAGAGCAAACGCGACGTGAAGCGCCGGTTACGACCTTCACGTACGTTGGTGCCATCGGGTGGCGTGCGAGACGGGAACTTGCTGGCGGAAGCCTCGCCTGCGGTGCAGCGCGACTTCATGACCTTTTACTGGGCGCGCAAAGCCGCAGATGTCCCACAACTGCTCACGCTATTGGACAGCCAACTGCCGTTGCCCGACAACCTATCCCGACATATCCATCCCTGGGTCGAGGCACCTGAGTCTGTGTGTGCACTCGCAGTCAACCAGATCGCTATCATTGCCGCACAAAATCCCCTCACTCCCGAAGATACCGCCGTGAGCACGGTTCTTAAACTCATCCCGTTGCTCAGCGCTCCTGAAACGGACAAGTCCGAAGCCGCACTTCTTGCACTTGGACTCATCACTGCAGAGGTGCCTAGTCTCGCCCAGCTCTTATTTGAACACGATGCACTCCCTATACTCATCAACATGATGTTCAGAGAAAAGGAAGGAGTCAAAGCCACCGCCGCCCAACTCTGCAGGAATGTCTACGTCCTAGACCTCACCCACCGCCGCGCCTTCCGAGACCTTGGCGGCATCCGCGCCCTCCTCGCCCTCACCGACCACGGATCCGTCGATCTACAAATAGAAGCCATCTACCACATCGGCGATTTCATCATGGTAAGCACCCTGACTTCAACACTCACTACGGTACCGTATCTCGTCTGCCAGCCGGTATTTCTTGTCACACATCCGCCGACACCTCGAACAACCTCTCGCGAAACCATTCACAGCTGCCCTGCCGTTTCACGGGGGCCAGGCACCCCCCCCGGTTCTATTCGCACCCCTGTTCTATATACCCCGCGCCGAACAATCCACATTCTTGCAGCAAAATGGCGAGGAACTCCCCGAATTCGTCGACGCAGTCAAGGTCATGTCGGCCGGCGCCAAGCTCGAGCTGCTGCTGGAATATCCGGACGAGTACTTGTACAGTGTCGTGAAGCAACTCTACTTGCGTCTTGCGGACTGAAGGGTGAGTAGGGCTAAAGAACGATCATAAGAAGTTGGCAGAAGGGTGAGGCTTGCTGAAGAGTTGAAGCTGTGGCGGGGCGAAGGGTGTTTGCTGCTGGCTGGGAGAATGGTGAGGCTGATTTTTTGACTTTCAGCTGCCGTGCTGTGATCAACTGAGACTGACAGCGTATGGCAGACAGAGACGGGGGAGTGCACATAGCGATGTTGGTTGCACCTTGAGGAATTGCGCACCATGGGCGCTTTATTGTGCTGTGCGGAGCGGCCGGTGAGTGATGGGGGGAGGGGTGGTGGTTGGAGTTGTGTTTTGTAGGACGAGGCGGCGAAGACATACGCTGAGGAGTTGACGGCGAAGGCGCACGGTGAGGACTTGCGGGCGTTTGAGGCGGCGTGTCGTGCTGGGGACGTGTTGGCGTTGGTTCGGTTATTGAGGTCGCCAGAGGCGCTGCCGACGGCGGTAGCGCAGAACAGTTGGATAGCCCCTGCGAGGTCGGTGAGCGCGTTGGCTGCAAGTCAGTTGGGGTCTTTGGCGAGTGGGGACGACGTATCGGCTGTGGAGCAGTTGGTTGGTACGGATGCGGTGGCCCGCTTGGTGGCAATGGTGGGAGAGGGGCCGGACCGGCGGGACTCAGCGATTTTAGCGCTGAGTTTCATCTCCGCCGCTGCGGTCCCAGGCCTCGCTGAACAGTTACACACAGCGAACATGATGACGCGGCTGGTCCAGGTCATAGTTCGCGCAGCCGAGTTGTCTGTGCACCCGCAGATCCTTGCGGCCGCGGCCCAAGCATGTCGCAACCTTTTCGCCACACATGAACAATACAAGACCGCCTTCCTTCAAGCACGAGGTCTCGACGCGCTTTCCGAAATACTCGCCCTCGAAGATGATGACGCCAAATTAGAAACTATCTACCACCTCGACGAACTCATTACAGACCCACAAACCCAAGAAGTACTCACGCAGTTCGCCGACCCCGTCAAAAACACACCAATCATCCAACAACTCCAACAGGCAACACTCTCGGTAAGGGTCCACCCTCCTCCAGAAGGACGTCCTCCTGAGAAAGTCTGGCGGAGGGACCTCGTGGAGGGCGTCTTCCACAAAAGGAAGTCTCTTCCGCGAGCGAAAGTCTTCTTTCGGAAGACGGTCTCCTCTTCCTATCTATGCTTGATGCTTGGCGATACTTGGGATCTCCCTGCCAACGGGACCTCCCCTGCACAACGGGGTTTTTCTGGGATTGCGGTCTTCCTGCTCAGATCCCAAGGCTGCGCTCCCCACCTGCCGCTTCGGTTCTTTTATCCTTCTGTTTCTTGTAGCATGATGAAGAGGTGGTCGAGTCAGCTAAATCGGTGCTAGCTAAGTTGGGCACAGCTCAAGACTGATATTCGCCCGCGGCTTTGTTGTCAGCGCCGTCAAATTTTGCTTGGATGTGTGCATACACTTTATTTGACGTCGGGGGTCACCAGTATAACGGGTGAGGTGGTGTCAAGAAGGCCTGAAGGCGGTGCCGGCCCGGGGTCGGTCGGTGGGGGCGGAATCCTGAAGAATTGTAGCGCGTCCGTTGGGTAATTCCAGCGTGTTCGATCTCTGGAGCAAGCGGGTCCAGCGGCCTGTACCCCAGGTAGATTTATAACGATTATAGTCGTTTTGCTATCGTCAGAACCGACAGCCAGGAACCGGTCATCCTGAGACCAGGCAAGGGACGTGATGAGCGCCCCTTGGTCCACTAACGAATTGGGTGTGGCAACCAAGCATTGCGCACTCAACGTATTACCATTCCTCGACAGAAACAACCACCAAATAGACAGACAACCATCCACTGACGCTTGGGCATAGAGTATTACATAAGGCCAATGGTCTAGCATGATATTTTATAGCAGGTTAGAAGCAGGGGGGGGTGGAGAAGCAAGGGTGGAGTAGTGGACAAGCAAGGGTGGAGTAGTGGACAAGCAAGGTGAAGGAGAAAGACTGACCGTCGTTTGTTATTTTATCGTCGTCGAGTACATTAACGAGAGCTTCGTTAAGGGGTATAAAGGCAGAGGGCGGTATGGGAAATTGGTGCCAGGTGTTGGCGAGAGCGGCGCAGCTTATGCGTGCTTGGTGGCCACGGAGTCGGAAGTTGCGTCTGGAGCGCAGGTCGCAACAAACGGCGAAGAATTGACGCCGGCGTTCGCCGTACGGGAGGCATACGAGTTGCCCAGTGGGGTCGATGGAAGGACTGCGCAGCAGGGGCACGTCTCCACCTTCGAAGAGTTTCTCCTCCACTTCCCAGAGCAGTTCAGTTTGCAGAGAGAGTGCTGTGTGTGGGTCATCAAATCCCTCTGAAAGAAGGACTCTGTAGAATAAATGTTGTTTCGTGCTCGTAGCGACACATAACAGGTAGCTCTTGTATCCGCGCTGGTCCGATGCCTGGTCAGAATGGCTCTGGTCCGAGTGGTCGGAGTAGTTCTGGTCGGAGCGTTGGGCTTTCAATCCCTTGCAGAATGCGCCATCGGGGAGATCTAGTTCGAAAATGGTTGTGCCGCGATGAGAGAAGATGATTTTGGTAATGCCTCCAAGGACAAGGATAGCGCTATCCAGCCAGCAAAAGTCGAATACTTCGCTGGTAGCAGTGACAGAATAAAGTCTTGAGCAAATCTCGAGCCCGAGGGGATCGAAGAGCCACACGATGAGAACGCCGGAGTCCGAAGTGGCTAAGAGGGCACCGTCAGGACTCCAGTGGGCGTTGACAAGGAAGCCGGAGTGCTCTTTAACAATATGGAGCCTCTCGCAAGCAACGGGGGCTTCCGCTGGACTACCATGAAAGAAAATGGCCTCAGACTCCTCCAGTCGGTCGTCTTCTTCTCCTAACCGGTCCTCTTTTTTCTTGTCTCCAGTCAGTGCACCGTCGGCGGACAGCATTGCTTCTTCCGGAGGGTCCTGTTCAACATACATGTTACGTGGTGTCTGTTCATCCGGCTCTGACTCTTCCAGTTCAATGACTTCAATACTCCCCTTGAATCGCGAGTCTACCTTCAGCCGGTGGGGCGCGTCATCGGTACCTGTTCTCCGCCGTTCTGTTAAGCTTGTTTGCCGCTCAGTCGGTCGTTCAGTCGACCCGCTTTGTCGGGGTGATTTCCTTTCCACCTTTTTTATCCGGTATACAGCTCCTATTGCATTGCCGACCAGGACGATAATCTCGGGATCCTTTGGGTGAAATTCCAGCACAGAGACCGGGAACCGACCGCCAGCACTTAGGTCACTCGGCTTCCCCCACACCAGAGTCATAAAAAAAGTTCTACTCGTTGATGTTAACCACAATCGAGTCGGTGGAAGAAAATGAACCAGGTCGCTTAGCAATTAGTGGTGTCGCTTCTTCACGCATGTTCCGCTCATCCTGGGTCGGTAGCAGAACCGGCTGCTCATCTACGTCGCTCAGCAACAAGTCATCAGAACGTGTCTTTCCCAAAGGCAGTTGGCCTTCAGCACCCGTCGACCCTCCCGGCTCATAATCGCCCTCTTCCTCCTCATACTCTCCGCCATCATCTACGTCCCCGATTTGTTCATCATCCTCCATTTGTTCATCATCCTCCATTTGTTCATCCTCTATCTGTTCATCCTCACCCTGTTCATCCTCACCCTGTTCATCCTCACCCTGTTCGTCTTGGCCTTGTTCATCCTCACCCTGTTCGTCTTGACCCTGTTCGTCCTCTGCTCCGTCATCTTCGGCTTGTTCATTTTCCATCAATTCGACTCCTCGAATCTGTTTTGGGGTGGACAGCGTGGTGTTCCGGTCGGTAACGACCAGTGTCCTTCCGGATACCACGGGTTGTTTAAGGGCCAGCATACTTCGTCTTTTATCGGCTGTCTTGTCCTTAGTTTTTCGTTTGCTCTTATCCATATTTGCTTGAGCGAGCATCAACGCCTTTGAAGCTTTAGGTTTAGATTGGTAATCTTGACGTACTAACTCGATAAATTCATATAGCCCGGCAACCCAAAGGTCTCGATCTCTATCAGTTCGCTGTAAATAAAGTTCACTAATATTATTTTTAGCTTTGTATCTAACCATAAACTGATGACGCTGGTTCTCATCTTGACCCTTAATGACAGCGATAATGGAAAGAATTGGTAACGCACCCAAGGGGTCCTTCCTTCTGGTAAGATGACGTTTGTTTGCCCAATAGCACCACATCCATACACCTGATCTTGTAGTAACCGCTTTGAAATAATTCCGAGCCCAAGGATCCCTGGGATTCGTGTTAGATAATCTGAGCAAATTGCCTTCAATTAACTTTGACAGAGTTCTCAATTTTTGCTCCGTTGATAATGCCATTAATTGATCCACTTGAACTTCCTGTCCTGTTTGTATGGTTAATTGCTCTGCTATTTTTTCATGATCCATACCAGATCCTATACCCATTCCTCCTCCAGTTCGTATTCTTGGCAACAATGTAGTAGATGATCCGGATCCTTTGTATAAACTCATATAAACTTCACATGTTTTACGGTCAGATAATAAGCAATCCCAGTTTGCTTTTTTTGGAAATGTGTGTGCAATCACTTGTTCGTCAACATATAATTTTAATTCACCTAATTTCTCGTCCTTCAAATGACTCTTTCGCCATACGACTAACTCACAAATATTGTCACATTGCCGGACATGAATTGTCATCGTCTGATAGAATTCTACAACTGCATTTTGCCCTCCTATGGAAGGTGACTTCTCAACTGATGATTGCTTATCGAATCTCCCGCATTTTAACGTAATGTATATCTTAGAATTGCTTCGAACTCCTTTTACTTCATGTATATCCAAAATCAAGTTAAAGGCATCATGCTTGTGTATACCAAACCATCGAAACCAACATCCTATTATCCAAAATTCTGTGGGATTCGGTATCTTCTTCCTAATCGCATATATTGTAGCTCCCAATGTAGCCAATATTCCGACGGAAGCCACGGCCGTTGATGGTCCTGTAAGAAAAAACATCCAGACGTGCCTGCACCATTGCTTAGTAGTAGTACGCCACTTGAAATAGTACTCAAGGGACATCGGGGAGTGAACTAGCCTACAGATATTCGTTAAGAAACAAATCATCCACAAGAGACAAGTGAATACGACCCAATCGAGGTAACCAATCGAGGCCAGCCAATCAAGCGGGGAGACAACCATAATTAGTGTGAGTCATAAAAGGGAAATTATCCAACGGAAAAATATCGCATGCCTCTCATTCCTGATATGCACTAGCCACTGGTATTTACTAGCCACTAGGAGATTGATGCTCACAGTTCATTCATGGTCGCCGCAGGGTATCGTAGGTCTGGCTCATTCGTCTGTTTTCTTGGATGCAACTTCCTCGTTACTGGGAGATGCGTTATTGCCAGCGGCTTCCTGCGCCTTCATCCAAGCCATTTTTTTTAGGGCTTTCTTGCTAAGTCCTTTCGGAGAGTCAGAAGGAGCATCGCAACCTTTAGCAATTTTCTCAGCATCCACTTTGGTTTGGATTACAGACATGTTCTTGGTCTTACCAGAGGGTATGAGGACAAAGATCCTCAAATTATCGTCTGGACGGATACGATCGCATCGGACATAGCCACGTCGTTCCAACTGTATCACTTCACCTTCTTTCACAAACTTAATGCTGGGCTCACCTATCAGTATCGTATCCTTGACGCTCTCCCGATTAACAATGTCACTCATTTCATCTCCCTCTTCCGGTTGTCTCTTGTTAATAATATGATCGTACTCTCTTAACACAAACTTATAGTTATCAGGAATGTCGGAAATCCAATGAACCTTTTTCTTTGTGTCCTTCACACTAGTCTCGAAGGCCATTTCGGCGCTCATGTGTGTGCATACACTCATTTTCTCATTATCGACCCCGATCTTATCGACCCCGATCTTATCGACCCCCATTTTGTCAGAGCATACACCGGTGATTTTGACGTTACCAGCACGCATCAGGGTTACAAGTTCATCTTTCATAAACTCCTGGGCATCTTCCTGTTCGATTATAATTGTATCGGTTAACTCGAAATTGACCTCTCCCATCTCTGGGTGTTTTGGATGTTTTGGTTTGTTTAGATTAATGGGTAGATTATCAGAGCCGGTGAGATTGATGATGACATGGTTGATGGCGTCGACAGCCATGTATCGGGGTGCTACTTGGTCATGTAATCTGTTGTTGAGGCTCCAGATTTTATCCCAAGACATGAGGTTCGTATTTTTGCTCGGTCCTAGTTCGATGATAAATTTCATAAGTGCTTCCGGTACTAAGCCCCTTCGTAGCATACCACGAACGGTAGGGAATCTTGGATCATCCCATCCTTCTACAATACCAGTGTCAACTAACCAAGCCAATTTCCTCTTGCTCAAAACTGTATTAGTTAAATTCAATCGCGAGAACTCATAAATATTAACTGGTCTCAATTCCATGGACGTCTGAACCCATTGATAAAGGGGAATACGATCTGCATATTCATTTGCTCTTAATGCGAGCGTCACACCCGACCAAGAGTCTACATTTGGACACGCAAAGTCATAGGTCGGGTATGACTTGTATTTTGTGCCATGACGGTGATGAGGTACACCCACATTGCAACGCCACATTACCGGGTCTCGAAGAGCCTTATTGTTGTCTTGCATGTTGATTTTTGCACGAACACACATTGTCTGGCCTTTCTCGGTGCCTTTCAAAATCTCTTCAAAATCCGCCAAGTTGTCTTCCACGGTCTTTGCACTACGGCTTGGCGACTCAATACCGTTCATCCGGTTATGGCGCATTTCCTCCAAGGGTGTATCGTCACAATACGCTAATCCCTTCCGGATAAGGTCTTTCATACTTGTTTCCAATCTATCAATGTAGTCTGATGTATAAGTAGGACCCTCAAATTTAACGTTCAATAACGATAGGTCTTCACATATACTCTTCTCAAACTCCATCTTCTCCTTACTAGGGTTAGTATCATCAAACCGTAACAACATAATACCATCGAAGTATTCAGCAAAAAACGCATTCAACATCGCCGCCTTCACATGACCAATATGCAGATACCCAGAAGGCTCCGGAGCAAACCGCACAACCAAACGACCATCACGACTTGGGTCGTAGTTCACCTTCGAAGCAAAAGACTTCTCCACTTCCGTCCACTCACGACTCATCTTCCTTAGGAAAAAAAAAACACCCAACCAGGTTCACATTGAAAGCTCCAAGTTCCGGCCGAAGTTGACGGAAGGCATAGCAAGGACCTAGTAGTCGCTGGGCTTGGGCAGACAGGGCCCGTCTGTCTGTCGCGGCGGAGAGGTGGCACTGGTGATACGGCTGCCTGGTTTCGAACCCATCATCACGAACGCAGGGCCAGCCATTCCTTGGCCCGCCATCCCATGGCCAGCCATTCCATGGCCAGCCATTCCGTGGCTAGACATTCCTTGGCTAGACATTCCTTGGCTAGACATTCCTTGGCTAGACATCCCTTGGCTGTAGCTGTGGGAGTTGAGACCGACGTTGGAACGCACTTGGTTTGCGTGGTCAGGTAGTGGCAGTTGCAGCGGGCCTGCTCCGGGTCCGCCGCCCATGAGAGGGGTGCTGTTTAGTTGGCTGTTGCTAAGTTGACTGCTGGCGTGATTTTGGTAAGCCAAGCTGCCCGGAACGGGTTGGGCTCTCGCGGCTGTCGCGGGGTCCCGACTAGTCCCCAATTCCCGACCCATCCCACGTTCGTGACTGAGGGTCAGGCTAGAGGGCCGGCTCTCCAGCACCGGACGCTTGTCGGGACGACTGTCCGTGCCGGCAGTCTCACCGCGCACACTTGGTTCCTTGGAGTGTGTCTCTCCAGGTGTGAAGGGTATGCGTTTGCCTTCGGTGAAAATGTAATCATCGAATTCGACGGAGGAGTGACTCTCTTCCGCAGAGGGCGCGGCTGCAGAGGGTGCGGCTACCATATCGCCCTGCAGAAACTCCGACCCTGGGCCCCTAGCCACGCGACGACTTGATTTGACTGAAGCAATATCTGCCGCCGGCTGGCTGGCTGTCTGGCTAGCTGTCTGGCTGACTGCAGGCGACTGGGACCGTTCTGCCGCTATACTGGAGCCTGGACGCTGCTTCCGCCACCCTTCGCCCCCTGTCTGTTTGGCCGTCGACTGTGCGTCACGGCTCTTCACGGACGCTGCCGCCGAAGGGACGACCGCGGAAGGAAGGGCTTCGGAAGGGACGGCCGAGGAAGGGACAACCGCGGAAGGGACGACCGGCACACTACCGGTTGAACCAGGACCGGCGACGAGACCAGGACCGGCGGTGGGGCCGGTGCTGGGACCGCTGTTGGGTCCGGAGTTGCGATTGTTACTGAGGAGTTTATTGAGCAGCTGCCTTTGGCGAGCGAGTGCCTGTTCCTGGCGTTCGAGGACCCGTGCGAGGGCCTTGGAGTTATCCGTGGCTTCCTTGGCGGCCATTAGCGCCTGCCAGGGTACCTCATTGCTGCGAGCCAAATCAGCGTGGTCTGTGTTCTTCAATAACTCGGTCTGCAAGTCGCTCTGACCGGCTTCACTCGGCTCATTGCCGAACTGACCCGATGTCCCGCCACCCTCTTCCTCTTCTCCCTCGACACTCATGAGACCTGCCGCCGACCGAGAGTCGTAGCCAGTCTGGTTGTTGGTGTTGTAACCAGGCTGGTTGGAACCGGGCGGGAGGCTTTGTCCGCCGCCCCGATAGACTCTATCTCGATAGTCCCCACTCGGGTAGTCCCCACTTGAGTTGAAGCCGTTACCCGCGCCGGGGTTGAAGCTTGCGCCCGTACCCGAATTCAGGCCACGACCGCGAATGCCAGCGTTAGAGTAACCGTCGGAACGATCGCCGCCCGGTGCACCCATGGCCCCCGGTCCTCCCGTGGCCCCCGGTCCTCCCATGGCCCCAGGACTTTCGCCATTGAGTGTGGGTAGCACGTTCCCGAACTGACCACCGGACCGGTCTCCCATGGCACCATAGAGGGCGTGGTTTGTTCCGTTGCCGATCCCCCCACCCATCATGTTACCAGGACCCATTCCGTTGCCGGGACCCATCATTCCCGGCCCCATGCCGTTGCCTGGCCCCATGTTGTTGGGGCCGTTCATTCCGCCACCACCGCCTACTGCGTTGTTAAGGTCAAAGTCTAGTTGTCTGTGAAGCGCGTGCATATCCTCGTCGAGTATGTGCAGGTCCTTGTTGGCCATGAGCTGTGTGTGCGTCGTCATCTCGCGGAGAGCGTTATCGATTTCTCGGATACGTTGAGCCAGTTCCTGGCTACGCCGCACTTCCTCATCTACGATTTTCCGAATTTGGTTCTCAACCAAACTTGACTTCTGCTTGAGAACGGTCACTTTGTGCTTTTGTGCTTCGTCCTGCAAGTGGGACCTGAATTCGTGGATTGGTGATTCCTTCAGCGCCCTTGTCAACACTTCCAGTCCTCCTCGGCGATAAAAAACTAGTGATGAAAAGTGCTTCGCCGCGTGCAGGTCGATGCCCACTATGATATCGCGTGCCTGGGCGCCGAAGTACGGAGCGTCAATTACCCACACATGCGGACTCGCGTCATCTGGGACGTACAATAAGACCCCGTGCCGGCCAATGCCTCCTCCTGACCCCATAGCCCCCGGCCCCATTCCCCCTGGTCCCATGCCTTCCGGTCCTGTATTATATCCTGTCCCGGTGTTATATCCTGTCCCCGAGGTTTGTATCATTCCGGCGTGCGCTTCAGGTGGCGAGTACATCTGATGGTTGGGGTCTATGGTCTGTGGTCGGTCCACGGTCTGCGGTCTGTCCATGTTCTGTGGGCGATCCATGGGTCTTTGTTCTATGCTAATGCGGAGATTCAGTAACGTTCGATGGGGTGCCAGCATCAACAGTTCCCCCTCCGAAGGAATGGTAATCCACCCGGGACCGAAGAGCGTGAGCGCCGTCAAGGAGCTGGCTTCCTTCGTATCAACTTCAAAGTTCTTGTATCCGATCTTTGACGCACTCGCCGCCTCCTCCTGCTGCAAGTGCAGCGCCTCCAATTGCTCCTGCGGCGACGGACGACTCACGCTACGATAGTTGCCAGAGAGTCGTCCAGGTGGCGACAAAAGTGCGCGACCTGTTCGCATGTTGTCCCAAACGTAAAGAAAACCAAACGGCGGGCTCGTGGCCTAACGCTCACTTGCGGCTCCACCACTTACGCCTCCACGACTTCGATCGTGTGTCTGTGTGCAATCAGTATCGCAAGAAGGATCTTTCGTGCGCGGTTATACGGTTATAGTTACCCAACCTTTCGTGCAGTTAAGAATTATCATTTCAGTGAAACTGACTCAAGACAACAGCTAGAGGTGGTGTACCAACTAGAGCTAGAGGTGATATACGAGCTAGAGTTGATATACGAGCTAGAGGTAAATAATCGTAGGATAAATTCGAGTGGAATAAATCCAATCGATGAGGGTGGAGATTGGCGCATTGAGAGAGGCGAGCAAAGACAAGGACATATATAATGAGGTAGTCGAGTTGTTGAAGAGAAACGAACATGATCTCTCAAAAGAATGTTATCGTCTAGCAGCGGAACGGTTATCGGATGACCGGATGATGGAATTGTGGGATGGGTATGTGTGCCGAGGGTATCGGCAGTACGTTGCATATCGTTGTAAGACGCGGAATCGGCGGCGTCTGGTCCACCGGCTTTTGACGGAGACATCGTTCGGTCGATCAGCAGTGATGACTAGGGCATTGAATAAGGAGTATGAAGGCAAAGAGGATCATTTTCAGACGTCGCGACATATCATCAAATGGTGGGCCTATCTGGAGGAGTTGTATATAAAGAATTTTTTCAAGGTTGTTAAATTAAACCAAGATCTTTGTTTCTTATTCATTGTCAAAATATCGCCAGGATTTGTGTCCAAGTTTGCAAACGAACTACGTCAGTGTGTGTTTGTACCGTTGATGAAGGATTGCCCCGATGTTGTACGTCAGGTTGTTTACAAATTACTAGGTCATGGAGTTCACTGCAATGCTTTGTGGGAATTTGCTGCTACAGCTCTCGCTTCAGGTCCCTACCACTCTTATTATTATCACGCTTTTGATGCAGGTAAGGTGGCCCAGGAGTGTCTTGAGAGTTATTTTCTCGCCCTGACCAAGGGAATGTTAGAGCGAAGGCGTGAAGATACGGCAAATGAGGATCCCCCATGGTACACATGTCATTCATGGGGCGGAGGTGCCGGATATTACAAACTGTTTCGTTCTGACCAAAATAGGGACCGGTGGTGGTCATGCCGAGTCTTGCAGCGATTGCGATTGCTCAACGATCACTGGCATAATAATATTCATAGTATCTCACTGTCAGTATTGGCTCATCCGTCGCTTGTATATAGCGGTGTTTTCAATACAACAGAATTCCGTGATCTGTTCGAAAAATACACCAACTGGATTGGCGCTCAACGGGACAAAGAACTGACTGAATGGCAGGCAGCCGGTGACCCGGACATTGTTGAGTCTATATTGTCAATGCAAGCACGGAGTTGCCAGAACAGTTGGACTGCCCTGCGCGGACGTCAAGAAATACCTCACGAATTTTGGAGTCTTCCTGAAGACCTTCGGATGCTGTATTATACCAAGGCCATAGCGGGCACTCCTGAGTGCGAAATTATACAACACTACTACCAGACCTGTGTTACCAGCAATGAGTGTCTGGACTTTGATACCTTTAAGATGGTCCATATACCTCCAAGCTTTCACTTCGTTAAACTGGACCTGAATTGGGATTATCTGATGGCTATACTTATTCCGAAAATATCTCCCCTACCTTCCAGCAACCCAAAAGGTAACAGTCACACACCGCCAAAAGTTCTACACCGCCATAGGTGTATCGCCATAGGTGTATCGCAGCATTGGACGGATCGGAACACGGGAGGCACGGGTCGGAAGACGGTAGCTGGATAGTTTGTACTAAGTCGATATCATTGGAGTCGATCCAAGTCATATAATGTGTTTATTTTAGTGAGGAGACAGCATCATGAAGTGATGGAATGTGGTAATCGAAATGCGAGGAAGCGTTACCAAAATAAGTTAGGTCCATTTTGTAGTCGGGAGTCATCGATTGGTGTACCGAAATTATGTGAGTGGGAATGCTTGAAGTTATTTGATGAAGTTAATGAGATGTATCTTTCATGTCGATTAAAGGGCGAGGATGGGATGAAGCCCGAGGATGGGATGAAGCCCGAGGATGGGATGAAGCCCGAGGATGGGATGAAGGACGGTGTGTTTTTCTGTCTAGCTGCTCAGCGCGCCAAGTCGTGCCAGGAGTTTCTTCTTGTGATACAAATGTTGTTTTTATCTGAACTTGTACGTCATCGACAACGTTCTGATTACACGTTGGAGACGCCTGTGGATACTTTGATTGGTACCCCCGTATTTGTCCTCCATCAAAGTAGTATCATAAATACTCTGGAGCCAGTTCGAGATTTGAGTTGGGAGGACGCTCTGTCGAGCTATGGGGAGCAGCTGAAGCCGTACGTTAAAATAAGTTCGCCGTCGTCTGAAAACAAACAACACTCGATGCGACCGATGTGCAGATCCGTGTATGTGGCACCAAAAGACTTGGATGCTGTGGCTGAAATTATTGGAAGAGATACGAATATTCGAGGCCATGAGTCTTGCCTTTCAGCAGAGAAGATTATACCTTATCGTAACTTTTATGAATGGAAGGTCAATTTGGTGGTCAAGAAAATTAATTTGTTGGAAGAGGACACAGACTCAAAACTCGGTACTAATATGCGTGCAACGTGCGGTGGACGAGGGTATGGTGTCAATGAGAAGGGGCGAAATCTGGTGTTGCAAAATAATAAATTGGGTATTGAGTGTGCGATTGTCATCGAACGAATTCTGTTTAACAAGGGACCCCGATTTCATAAAAACCACTTTGACCATATCACTCGGAGACAATTGCGTTTGTATAAGGAACTTGTTTCGAAACAGCTGGGCAGGACAGAATATTCCCTCAGACCTTGGTATGCATTGCCTACCAGAGAGCATGACCATAATAAAAGACCTAATTCTTGGTGTGGACACATCCACGAAGATGATGGTGTCTGGGCCTACATAGGATGCTTACCTCAGCAAGCCCTACCTCATATCACTGAGTTGCTTGCATCTCTCATTCTCCAGACTTATTCAGTTCCCAGTAATATATTGTCCTTGCTAGAACGAATAGGCGTTCCCCCTATACCCAACCATGACCGACTGCATCCTACCGAAATGGCTTGCGAGAATGTATCTGAGAACCAAGCAAGGCACGAGAATGAAGATGTTGATGGGAATATCGACCTTCTAGTCGCAGACATTACAAAATTACCGTACCGCCTTCAACTGAGAGATACCCCGATAAATGTTCTCAAAAGCGGTCGCTGTCTCGCGTGCTTCGATTTATTTGTTACCAAGGCCAACCATATTTCGGATAAACAAGTAATTGGCAAACGCATTTTCATCCAAGGGAGGACAGACCTTCTTGCACAAAATATGGATACGTGTCTCGAAACAACGGACTGTTGCCATCTACTGCCCAGCCTCCAAAAAATGCCGGTACCGCGATGGAATAGAGAAAACAACGCCTGGCGATATAAACACCAAAGGCGACCTTTCGTCGAGAATGAAGCCTTAAAAAATCCTACAGAGATTCCCTACCGAATGCCCGTAGAGATACAAGCAGCCGACAGATTGCTTAGCATGGCTCATATTGCCTACTTTAGCGGACAGCTTGATTATGACTACGACGACAGCGAGACAGCCGCAGTTAAAGAAAGTGTCACGAAATTCATAGATCATCTTACTTTTGACCAAGCGGTCGCGCTCGGCCAGCACTCCCAGACGACGCATGAAAGATCCTGGTGGATGGCCTGCAAGCGCAACAATCTCGGTACCACGGTGGCGAACATACACCCCCACCTGAAGCATCCAGAAAATGCAGTGTTTGCGTTACGCGCTATGGATTGGATGCTCAAATATTTGTCGCACACGTGTGTGCGCACAATATTATCCTCGGCCAATACTAGGCTTTATCGAGCGAAGAAAGCCGTGAATGACTGCAGGCTTCGAGTTGCCCAACTGTATTGTCCAGGAGATCTGTTGCTGACCGATTCTCTCGATCCCACAGATTCGTTATTTTTCGACGAGTCCCAGGTCGTGAATCATTCGAAAGGGGAAAATCAGCTGGACGCTTTTCTCAAAGGTTTGGATGAAGGGTTACTTGCTTCTCTATCTGGACCACTGTGTTTGGAACTTTGTGACAAACGAGTTAGATCAAGCTTACTGAAATTACCTTTGACTAACGATTTAGTTCAGCGGATTATGAAGCCGTACGGGTACGGCACAGAAGCTTTGAGTTACATGAAACAGGTCTTTGGGATCCAGCTGCTCGAAACCTGCTCAGTACACCAGCTGGCTTCAATTGTGAAGCTCCCATTCTCCTCACCGGTGGAGGTTCCGGAGCGGTTCACAAATCTGTTAGTGCCGGACTCTGGATTACTACGGCTGTTCGGAACGAGGTTTTCGCTCAAGAATGATCGCATGCTATACCGCTTTTCCGCAACGCGCTTACGCCCCTGGATGACGTACCACTTGGACAAACGGGTCCTAAAAAGATCACCCAAAGAACACATCAAATCAAAGCACTTCTTGTCCTGGAAGCTCGCAATGTTCCGTCCGCGGCACGATTACTGGGCTCGTTCCCCTTATTTTTAATCGAGGGAGGAACACGTGCTAGGTCTGTCACGGAAACTAGGCGGGACTGGAAAATACTCTGCGCGCACGGACTCTTCTGCTGGCCGGCGGTACAGCCTGGCAGCGCGGTCGAGAATTCCTCCAACAATGTCTCGGAACCGTTGCCCATGGGGAAAACTGGCTCCAGCGACCTTTGGCCCGGGGCAAGACCCTGACCAATATTCTGGACCTCCCCCGCAGTCTGCGGCAAAGGATCGTAAATGTCCCACCGAGGGCACCACCGAGAGGTCCAGCATTCGTTTTTGTATTACTCAGCAAGATCTGGATTGGACCCATCGGAGCAGAGGCCGAACTGGCTGAAGCAGTCCCGAATAGCGGCGCGGCAGAAGCAAAGCCCGACCCAGGGAAGTCCACATGCCCGGTAGCCCCCGCGGAAGCTATCGTTCTAGCCTAGGGGAGCTCGACGTTGACAGGCGGGATGGCGATGGAGAAACGTCCAAGGCCTGGGATTTCGGTGACTGTGTTGGCAGCTGTGTTGGGGTTCATCACGTTCAGCAGCTGGGGATTCAGTATGGCGTTGATCTGCTCCTGTGACCAAGTGGCTGGGTTGAGTGGACCAGCGATAGGAATGTCCGGA